TTTGGACAAACAAGCATAGATAAATTCTATTCCAACTCTTTACTGATGTAAGCTTGATGGCCCTGAAAAGGGCCGTTTTATTGAAGAGGACATCCATGGCCACTTACGCTTGCCGTGTTTAGTGTAGGTGACAGCATCACGGACCTCATTTTCCAGGAACACCTTCAGCACACCTTGTAGATCAGACCGGAGATACGTTTGACACCACCACGGCGAGCCAGACGACCGATGGCGGTTATCTCGAAGAACTTTGCGATGACGCTTGGCGCCTCCTTTACCAGACCTTTTCCTCCTTTGCCACGACCAGTCAATTGTTGCTAGTTAGGTGTGAAGGAGTGGACTAGCCACCACCTTTCTACTACTGCTATTACTGTTCACCACGCCGTTCGAAGCGAAAATGAGCTAATGCCATACAGCAGCGCTCTTTTATATCTTTTCAGGTTAAAGCAGAATGATGTTCAACCAAGTGGTATAAAAGCTACAAAGACTCCTCCTATTATGAGTAGTTTGATATCAAGTAGCGACACTGGCTCTTTTCCTTTTGCGTACACGGCGAATGAGAACGACCCAAATTTGAGTTTAGTTCACTCATAATCGCCAAAAGTGCAGGAACTCAGCGATGAGTAAATTTGTCTCATGGTTTCCTGTGGAAAACCTACACACTTAGAAAAAATCATGTAAATTTAGGTGCTCTGAGAGTGACATATACGAGCGTCAATTTTGACATAAATTTGAGTCATAACAGACGCGAAATATAGCTCAATAAAACGTAGATTTTGTCGAGCAACGAACATTTCAGTCTCGGAGCACTTAATATTACATGACATGTTTGTTTCCGTCTCATCTTTTATGTCAACGACGGATTCCGTCACGTGTAAAATTAGTTATTTCTAAGTGTGTAAAAAATCTGCCAGAAAATGAGGAAATTGACGAAAATTTTATTCAGTCTTGGAGTAGTACCAATAGACTGAGTGAATCCAATCTTTACTTTTCTCAAATTCGGGAATTTTTCCCTGGAAAATCCTGGAAAAACCTAGAAAACATGAGGCAAATTTGCTCATCGCTGAGTTCCTGCACTTTATTTCTTAATCCTGAGATAACTAAAATCAAATTTGGGTAGATCTCATTCGCCGTGATATCACCTTGAAAGATATCGGTGCCGGTGGTTAGCGTGATTACCTCTCACCCCAGCACGCCTGGGTCCAATCTCAGTCGGCGCCACCGGCATGTTCTAAGGCATAACATCTCTGATCACGCCTTCCTTCGGGAAGTAAAGCCGTTGGTCCCCGGTTGAGTTGATGGGTCGATCGGTAGGGTCCAGGTGTGGGAGCTGCCTCTCTGGCGTCGGTAGCATTGGAGCTCAGTACGGAAAACATATCTCGCGTCACTTTTCAATAGGTACTATCTACATTGATCGATTCTCTTCATCGACACTCTCTTTCGTAAATAACTCGGCTTCACAAATGTTTCCTGCCGTCTTCGTCGAATTAGATGCTAGATTGTTGCTTCTTCCATCGAAAATATCCGGCCGTGGCGATTCAAAGTTGATCAAGGTTGATCAAAATAATTTGTACGCCTGCTTCCAGTTTGATTACATGAGCATTTTGTGTGATCGTTGGTTTTGAATGTGGACAAACAGGCAGATGAATTCTATTGCTACTCTTTACTGTAATAAGCTTGGTGGCCCTGAAAAGAGCCGTTTTGTTGCCAAATGAGTACGCAATTCCATCCTCCCTATTCGCACGCGCCCGAGGATCGACTTGTTTCGTCTACTTACTACCCTCCGACGACTGTGCTGGGGAAGCAGCATATGCATGTAGGTAATTGGTGGATTTGTTAGTTAATTCGACGCTTTTGGACAATGCTGGACATTTACCAGTTTTTCAATAGTTTCTTGTTGAAAATCAACATTCAATCGTTGTTATCGATGCGTAGCCATATTTCTGATCGATTGGCGATAAAATTATTGAAATTGGACCAGGGGCAGCTGAGTTATTAACGTTCAAAATCTTTCTTAATTTGTTACATGTTCCATTTTCGGTTTTCACAAAGTGTACCCCCATATAGAAATCAAAGACGTAGTCCTACGTCAAAACACTATATTTTTCGCTAGTCTGCTTCACATTAGAGTACTGTTCCGTAGTATGGGCTCCTTTTTACAGCACAGGGGTTAATCGTATTGAGGCCATTCAGCAAAGATTTGTACGTTTCGCCCTTCGTTGGCTACCCTGGAGTGATCCTTTCAATGTCCCTAGTTATGAAAGTCGCTGTAATTTGATGTCCCTACAATTACTTAGTGTTCGCCGAGGAGTCTCTAAGGCTACTTTTATCGTTGATCTCCTACTATCGGACATTAATTGCGGTTCACTTTTGCAGCAGTTGAATGTCAATATCAGACGCGTAAATGTACGTTCCTATTATTTTTTCAACATCTCGGATTCTCGCACAAACTACGGCGCTAATGAGCCGTTAACTAGCATTTGCAATATTTTCAACAAATGTTATAACTACTTTAATTTTAATATCTCCCTTGTTAGACTTAAGAATCTGTTTCATAATGTACTTTTAACTTCCTGACGGTTTCTGTTTTCTGTATTTAACTTAAGTTAATTATGTTATCATTAATATCTTTTTATGTGTTTAGGACTTAGCAAATGTATCTGTAGGATTCCATGTTATCTGTTGGTATTGAAATGATGAGGTCTTGCGCCCACTAGTGTGGGGTTTTCCCTCCAAATAAATAAATAAATAAATAAATAAATAATTAAATGAAGGATGATTTTCATTTTTGCAATTGGATTTTAAAAATTTAGAAGTCATTTGTTTCAAAATCCTGAGCTAAGAGATTTGTGGAATCAATCATGTTTTTTTTCAAATCTAATCTACGTTCAATTTTGGTATAGGTCCATACAAATTTAGGTGAACTGAGCTGTACACGCTAAGATCAGTTTACCTAGACGGTACAAAGAGATTACCGAGATTGGCTGTAAATTGCACAAACTCACATATGGGTAAATTTTTTTAACCCAAATATAGGTTCTTATGATCCATAAATGATTTATTTTTTATGCAAATTTGACTTAAATTTACCCATATTTGGGTTAAAAAATTTACCCATATCTGAGTTTGTGCAGTTTACGCCTGATTTGGGTAAAGTAAACCTACATTTGGGTTATCTGATCTTAGCGTGTAGGGTAGCGAATTACTTCGGCATAAGCGCTTACTTCCGTCAATTCTAGCAGAAACGTCAAATAAGGACTATTCAAGTTATAAAACGGGCATAACAAATTATCTGTAACAATATTTCAAACAATTTACTTCTAGAATCTCGAGGAAATAGAGTCTGATTTACAGTAAACAAGAATCGAGAATTTATTATATTAAATTCAAAACAATCTGCTGTCAAAGCACTACCGAAAAGACCACAAGGGTCACTTTCATAAAATAAACTGAGCTTCTGGATTCATACAGAACCTCACTTGAGTAATTGTATTTTGTCAAACAACTCAGAAAAAAATATAAATATTACTGGTGACGTTAATATCTATGCGTGTGAACTTGTATTTCTTTTCAGGCAAACATTTGAAAACTTCCATGAAATTACTCATAACTTAACACAATCTTTAATGTAAAGATACATGATATATGACACTTGATTTATGTGCATCATATTAAACAGAAATTTTCACTCACTACTTTTTTGAACTGTGAAGTGCTTTTCAACGCCATCATGTTTCAGTCGTTGAACATTCAAATATGTCTCTTCTGAGCCGAACCGATTGAAAAGTTTTTAATTTAGCTTGAAACCCATCATGACAGAGTCTATTTGCTGCGTCTTCGCTTGAAATGGCGGAGAAAATTAATTTTCATACTTCTGACAGTTCAATACCCCACATTCTTCAGGCGTTGCGGCATTTTACGTTGTGAATAAGCGACAAGTATCATTCTGGGAATCCATTGTCATCGTTATTTTTAACAATCTATCCAACGTAATTCAATCCGAACGTTCGTTTTGAAGTCAATATTAATTGAATTGTTGATTAGTTTAGGCACGGGTCACCCTTTACAAAAAAACAAAACGCCTCATCAAACAAACTCAGACTTTTTGGTTTGGACCCTATTTTGATGACAGCTAAAAGGCAAATGAAGTTTTACTTTCATGTTCGGCTAGCATTAGGGAGCCTGGGTCTTGGAATGGTTGCCCATTGTAGAGCAGGGATTTCACTGCTTGAATTATTAATAGTTGTGATTGCATTTCAAATGTTGCCATAGGATTGTGACCAGGGTTCTTCTTATTTTCACTTGTATTTTATGTTTTCCACTGGCTCATGGTGCCTCAATGCCTGCAGCGAAAAAAGCATTGACAGTGTTTCTATTCAGCAGTAATGCTATCGTTATCCTGTTTGTTCGAGCATAAAGCGGGGAACGAGCTTTTGTATTCATATTTTCTGTTGTAAATATGTTTGTTTACAGAGAACGGTTTAAACAGATTTATGGAACACAACGAATAAACAGCACAAGCAGGGGTTATTGTTTTACATTACATATACAATCGATTTCAACGGATGGTGAAATATTTGTTGATTTTCTGGCGTATACAACGATAAATGGATACTTTATGGTCATAAATAGTTGCTGGCGGATGGCTAGAATTCAGTTCATCCTATCTTTGGATTGGTAGTTGAATGACATTTTTCACCTTGACTGTAGTATACACCGAATATAATAAATATATTACTGCATTTGGGAATTATTGCCTCCGGGGACTTTCATTGTAACTGATAGTGAAATAGCGATGGTTATGAATTCTGCTTCCTGTTCAAATTTAACTAACGGTATTTGGATCTATACTCTAGAAAATCACAAAAACTTATGACGTTAAGCAAACAACCCGATTGTACTCGACCATGTACCTTTTTAATCTGATTTCATAACGTATCGATCAAAACTGTTGTATTGACATCCATTACAAAATGCCGCATGTGCATTGTCCTTTCCAGGTTCCAGAACGCGTCCGTGCGATGAATGCCACTATAAAGCTGTTGTTGATTGTGCGAGAACCGGTGACGAGGGCGATATCGGATTACACACAGCTTCGAAGTCACGCAGCGACGGCCACATTGCCACAGCAACAAAGTTTATCTTCCACATCGCCATTATCCAGGTGAGTGATGGATTATTAGCATTGGATTAAAGCGCATTACACAGAGGGGATTGTTTTCGCATCGGTCGAATAGTTTATTTGATGGAATTTTCAGCTGATACAGGATCGTAATTAATCATTCGACAAGTGTGGTAAAATGTGCAAGTGAGGCGACATATCGCTAATTAGTTCCAAAAATGTATTTTGGAAAATTTTCTTGATGTTTCAGTTAAGTCGAGTGTAGTGATAGTTGTACACATATACGAAATTTGTTTCACTACATCCGTCAACGATAATGTACTTCTCGTGTGATAAAATTATTCCAATTGGATTGACTCTTCGTTTTGGCATAAATGTGAGAAACCTCATTGATCCAAATCATTTGACCGTCATCGTCTTAGGTATCAAGCCCAAAATAGATCCTTAATAAGCTTTATTCGGTGCATAATACCTACGTTCCCTTTTATTGAAGAGCCAAAGGATGATGGTGTATCGCCGCTGGTGAGTTTTCATGTGACCTGTTCGTGGTTTATAGCTTCCGTCTCGAACAATCATTTTATTACCGCACGTTTAGAATCGATGGCTTGTCGTCGGCGTCATCAAACGACAATATAACAATCCCACAATTTGGTCGCCCTCAGAGGCAGAGAAGGAAACATCAACCATGGTACGCTGGAAATGATCTTCAGAGAGGTCAATAAACAGAATCGTTCCATTTTCTGCCATTGCATAAACTAATGACATCATGACGATGACTTCTTTGAACACAGAGAAAAAAAATTACCCTAAAATTAAGTTCTTTTTACTTAATTTTGGGTAATTTTGAGTTTTGCATCCCACTCTCACTTTTTGCCGTTGTCAAAAACGGAACGAGAGATTCGACTTTCTCATGACTATCGTTCAATAAGCTACTAGTAGGTATATGAGATATTCTCAAATTTGAGTCAATTGAACTTAATTTTGGGTAGAAAATACATACGAGTAAGTAATTATTTTTGCCGTAGCCAAATGCAAACTACTAAAAGCGATTTACTGAAAATTAGCTTATTGAACGGAACATGGGAGATGAGTGAAAAGAACTTAATTTTGGGTAATTTTACGGTTCCGTGAAAATGTTTTTCCTTGACTTGTTTTCCGTTGATCTTGTTTTCCGTGCTGAGCACCAATGCTACGGATGCCAGGGAGGCAGCTCCCACACCTGGACCCTATCACCTATAGACCCATCAACTCGAGAACCGGGGACCAACGGCTTTACTTCCCTTTCGAAGGAAGGCGTCATCAGATATGTTATGTCTCAGAACATCCTGGCAGCGCCGACTGGGATTGAACCCAGGCGTGCTGGGGTGAGAGGTAATCACGCTTACCACTACACCACCGGCGCCACTTGATGTACTTCTTTATAGTTTTGTTTTATCAAATCTCAAGTGGAACTCTAGTCTCAGACGTCAGCTAAGGGCTATTTTTTCCCGCACTTAAATATTTGACGATTAAGATAAAGCGAAGCCTACAATTATCCATAAATTGTGTATCACAGTCTGCCCATGATATGGTAACAGCTTTTTCACAACAAACGGCTTTCAACATTTTTTAAATTTAGCTGGCCCCCAAAATCATGTCCGATTGACCCCAATTTTGCGTAAGGTCTGGTTTAGAGACCGTATGTGAAATTCATGATGATCGTTTCCATTGGCACGCTAGTCCACAGCTATCAATTGAAAATTAATAGTCGCTTAATTTTAATCATAGATATTTGCAAGTCATTTTATTTTCAGGGAAAAAACAATTCCCGATTTATTTTGCTCAAATATCAGCTAAAATAAAGCAAGCGAGGTAATTGGCACCTACAGTGATGCCAAAGCTAACGTGAAAGTTCTCCATCCTGGGTGACTGCTTGTTTTTGCTTTGATCTGGGTTCAAATAATTTAAATTTCTGTCGAATCGCTTATTTTTTTACTGAACAAACATTTAATTTGGTTTTATCACAATGACAAGATATAATACTAAACACGCTAACTTTGTGCACTGTGTCTAGGTCGGTGCATGTTGTTGTCACCGTTTGAAGAAACTAAAAATTAAACTGGTGGAGGTTAATATCACGATTGGATTTGACTTTCTAAATGGAATTGAAAAGTCCACCATTGGCGAAATTGCCAGGTTTGAGAAGGTACTGGATGTGAATCCTGTTGAAATGGAAGCAACGTAACGGATTGCGGAGAAGAAGGCAGTCTTCAATAAGATAAAAATTGAAGAATTAATGTAGTATCGTCGTGGCTTGTTTCTTTGTTCTGAACAGGCTACTGTGGACACTTTAAAGCTTATTGAATCAAATGAAATAGATAAAAGAATCGATTTAATGTTAACAAACAACTTGTTACTGGGACTGAAATTTGTTTGATCATGTAGCACTTTCCAAAATTAAACGGAAAAGTTTATAGTTAAACGAGTTCAATAAAAAGTACACCTTTCAATAAAAAAAAAAGACCTACAATTGATGTTGAAACTTGTAAAAACATTCACAAGCACCTCTCAGGAGTTGATAAGCCGGATGGTGTATGATATGTCATGTGAAGATTATCCACAACAATGTTATGGCGAAGTACAGAAAATAGAGGTAAAGTGTCTCCATAATTTCTTTATAGTCACTTTAACACTCTTGGGTCATTCGTGACTTGTCCGGGGGAGAGATTTGAACTCGTGACTTCGGCGTGAGAGGTATGGATGTTAACCACTACGCCGGGGTCGCCGAGTTACTTGGGTTAAACTATGCCGACCGCGTACATCAGTACACCGACGGCTCCCGATCGATAAACGGAGTAGGTATCGGGATTTTTGGAGACGGTACTGCTGAAAGCAGCTGTCTTCCTCCACAGTGCTCGGTTTTCTCGGCCTCAATGTTCCGTGCCGCTACGACGCCAGCCAACAAACCGATACTTATCTTAACCGACTCACACAGCGTCGTTCAAGCGATCACCTCGGAAGCACCAAAACACTCATGGATCCAGGCGATTATCTAGTACGCCCCACTGAACACCGTGTACACATGGATTCCCGAACACTGCGGGTGCCAGGTAACGAGTCTGCTGATCACCTTGCCGGAGCCGAACCATCGGATCCCAGACTCACCGACAAGGTACCCCTACAGGACGTCAAGCGGTGGATCATGCGGACCATTCGCGCGACATGGGAGGCCGAGTGGTTCCACAAAAGGACTACCTTCATCCGCAAAGTCAGAGGGTCAACTGAAGCATGGAGCGAACAGGACCACCAAACTCTACTATAACCTGGTGGCCTGCCGTTTCGCAGAAGCTGCATCATCTGCGGGGTACCCTACACCATCGAACACATCCTGTGCAACTGCCCGGAGTGCCAAAATCTTCGGGAGTCGCTCTGGCTATCTCCAGCATCAGGGATCTGCTGGAGAATGATACTCTGACCTCGGCAGCACTAGTAACCTTCTTAAAAGATGCCAAAATCTACCACTTGATATAGCAGGAATTTTATTCGGCCGTCGGGACATCTAAGCTAGATGGATTTCCCCTATTGGACCCATGCCAGCTGAGCTCAGTTTTGTTCGGACTAAATTGAATATTTCGGCTGCCAAACGGTTTCAGTTAACATGTTGAATAGTTGATGTACCAGCAATCAAAATTTCAGAAATGTTGAAGCCCGTCCTGAAACATTACAGCTCATAAAACTTTTTTGAAGAGAAACTAAATCACAAGGTGTTATTATTTTGTTTGGTACTGTAGTTGTATTTGTTCAGCATCGATATGAAAGAACAATTTTTATAATGTGGCAGCTTTATCGGTCAATGCAAATCATCCGGTAAACTAGGATTTGGCCACTTTACCCCAAAATATAATTTCCATATTAAATATTAAATTCTCAGCGGTATCGGTGGTGTAGTGGTAAGCGTGATTACCTCTCACCGCAGCAGGCCTGGGTTCAATCCAAGTCGGCGCCGCCGGGATGTTCTGAGGCATAACATCTCTGATCACGCCTTCCTTCGGATGGGAAGTAAAGTTGTTGGTCCCCGGTTCGTGAGTTGATGGGTCGATAGGTAGGATCCAAGTATGGGAGCTGTCTTCCTGGCGTCGGTAGCATTGGTGCTCAGTACGGAAAACAAGATCGACGGAAAACAAACCAAAGGACAATTTTTATAATGTGGCGACTTTATCAGTCAGTCGGGATTATTCGGAAAACCAGGATATGGCCACTTTACACCAAAATATAAAATTCTTATTAAATCCACTTTGATCTCGTGATTCTGAATAACAAACAAAAAAATACAAAGTTCTAGGACAATTTTTATAATCTGGTCACTTTATCGGTCAATCTGGATTATCCGGAGAACCAGGATATGGCCATTATATTCCAAACCATCTATTCCATGTTAAATACGCTTTGATCTCATGATTCTGAACGACACAGAAGAAAACCGTAAGTTAGATACTTAGACCATTTTTATAATATGGCTACTTTATCGTTTGTTCTGGATACTTCTTTGGGCCAGTAGAAGGTCCCTGAGGGCGTATATGGTGTCGTTACACCATATATACAATTTCCAGTAATATACGTAAATGAAGATGTAAAACTATGTCGATAGATAGTGGCATTTCCTACTTTACCGGGAATTCGGGTTGATCTCGGAAGTCAAAAATCTCCGGTCAATGAGACTACCACCAATCGAATCAGCAAAGTTTTTCCTAAGAATATGTATAACATGTTGAACATGAAACGGTTTTAGGCAGCCGAGATATTCAGTTTAGTCACGGTTTCGTCATTTTTTCCCACTGTGCGACGGTACGCATTGCTGAAATTAAGCTGATATACGATATACGCATGTTGCCTGCTAAGGGAAACGCCCAATACGTGTAAGTGTACCACAAGAGGTCCTGGATCGTTATCTTCCGTTTGTGCTGGGGAGGTACGGAAAGGTCAAGCGTATTATCGGGAAGAAATTTCCTGCTGAGCTGGGGTTCGACATGCATGCAGGTGTGTGAGGTGATTCATTTCCTGTA